TTTCACTACAGCATTTCTTATCTTTCCTTTGTCCTGAGTTTAATGGGAAGAAGCCTAAGTTTAAATGAAACCATTTAACTTTTCTAGCTAGAAAATCATGTGGTAAAAATATAAWTTTTCTGTGAAACTTCTCTAAGTAAAGCTTTAAAATACCTTCTTGGTGCACTGACCTGCCCAGTTCCTGCTGTCTTTACCAACCCTACTGCTGTGGCCCCAGGCAGAGCACACAGCACGCTTAGAGGTCCACGGATGGGATACATTGGTCTGGAAGCCCAAGAGGGAACATCCAAACATCCATAACTTTGTCTATCCAAAATACATACTGTTCCTTCAGAGGAATAACTCCATTCAGATGCTTTAGTCATGTAACATCTCTCCTGCATAACATTTCCCTTTCTTTACCAATAGGACAAACTGTGAAACCATGATGTAAACTGCTGGAAGCAATGGAAATTTTCTAAATTACGTGAAAAGCATTTCTTAGACAACTTAAATGACCAAGTCAGTAGTCTGGGTAGTGACCCAGACAAAAATATATTTCAAATAGAACAGAAATTGGGTGAGAGGAGCTTTCTGCTTTATAGACAGCATATATCTAATGTTGTAGAAAACYTGGTAAGCTGTTGAGATGGCTGCTAAGCCAGTAACTTGGAGAATGGTTAAAAAAATCTCTAGTGGCCTTTGAGCAGCAGTCCGTTCCTCACCTATTGGCAGAAGAAAGCCCCTTGTAACAGCATGGAGTAATTTCATGGCTTTTGGAGCACTCTGCTTCTGTCAGGGGCAGATGAAAAGCAGGCAGGTCRTGAATGCAGAACTTCAGCTCAGAGGTGGCTCCTCTACCCTGCTGTGTTTGTATGAATACAAGTATTTAAATATCCCAAGTACTGCACTCTGCTGCAAGCTGTACTGTGTGGTGTATACCATAGTGTCACCCTGAGCTGTCAGAGGGTTTTAGCCAGAGGCCTCAACATACATACAGCAGTAGCACTGCTGGGATATGCAGARCAGTGCATCCAGGACTAGTTTATTGTTTCTTCTTCCACTCAAATGGAACATGGGTCACCAATAGCCCTGAAGCAGCCAGCAGAAGATATCAAAGATGCCCCTGCCAAATCAGGACCGCTGTGGGCATGAACTGCAGGTTCACAGCCAAGRGTTCACCACAGTGAGCTTCTCTTCAGCTCAGTCCTGCCTCCCCATGGCCAAGCACCCGACCAGCATGATGAACAAAGCAGGCCYGAGGCAGGAGAGCAGGCTGTAAAAGCTTCTCACTAGTGAATATTCACTGCTGTTTCACTGGACAAGCTATGGTTGCTGGAGGAGGTGCCTCCAAGGGGACTGCAAGACCTGCAGCCCTGTGTAAAGAGTAATCAGAGCTCGTGTGAGAGGCAATATGCAGACCTGCATGAGCCATTAATGAGGGAAACGGGGCAAAAATGTTGTATTTGTGCAAGAGCTGGTCCATTAAGGGCCCCTGAAGATTTTGTTCATGTTCTCCTAGAAAATGCTGTCACATCATAGACTGTGGAAGACCACAAGAGGACACTATAGTGCTACTCATCTTCTAATTTTATTTACTGCATTAACATTCTCCCCCTCCCTTATAATTAAAATATTCATATTTTACAAAAGCTTGCTTAATTTATCCTTTAAGCCTGGAAAAATAACCAGGTTTTTAAAAGTGTTAAATATTGCAGCAATTTCTAAAGTAAAATTAAGATGCTGGAAAAATACACTTTATGTTAATGATCAATTCTCAGTTTATTTCATATTTTAACATTGATAGATTTGTTCTGAGCCATTCTCTCTTTTGTTTTTAAAAAAACAGCAGACTCAGAGGAAATTGAGTATAGGCATAGGTGGGTTCTTTAGATTTCATAGCTTCCTTGCAGGAGGAAACTCTGGAAAATTAATCCAAAGGGACTTTTTCTAAAGCTGTGTCAGACACTTTTACAAATTCTTGACCTTCATTTGGTTTGTCTGACAAAACCAGTATTACCTGCAGCTTTGATCTGAGCTGAAATGCTTCATGGAAATAACGAGACCAGCTGACAAGAAAAGACTTCCAAGAAAAACATGTACCTGGTAAGCAGGAGGGAAGATCTTTCCCATGAAGTTCACAAAGCCAGTTGGAGAGAAACAACATAAATGGAGTAAAATCCAAGTACCCTCCCACATGGGTTTTGCTAGTTAAGGCTCAACCCTCAAGCAGAAGAGGCAGCATTTCATTTCTGTGATGTAAGCTAAATACAGTACTGTGTTTACTTAGCATCTTTAACAATTTGTTTGCTTCCCTAGTTAAAGATTGTTTTGTGATAGAAGTAGCTGAGCCAAGGCTGATAACTTCTGGTTGCGTGGTTGCAGAGAAAYGGCACACGGAAAAGGATCAGCAATTGATTTCTTTCCGTGGAGAAAAAAAWATATAAATAAAAACTTGCACAACTTGGAATATTTTCTCAGAGAGAAGATGGGGAAAGTGTTGATTCAAAGTGAAACACTCTGCATACTCTTAGTGAAACAGCTAATCCAGTAATATAAGGCCAAGTGACTGACAAATTCCAGGTTAGTCACTGGAAATCTTGGACATCCATTTCTACAGATTTTTAGTTTTCTCTGGTAAAGCTTACCCAATCGTCTTAGTAATATCGTAAACATACAGAAAAAACTTTTACTATTTCCTCTGTTAAAAAATACATTTATAGGAGCACCAAACACCTGTCATGAAGTGTTTTATTTAGAATTTTGGTTTGTAGGTAAGATATCAAGATACCCAAGATGGATTAATCAGCATCACAGCTCATCCTGAGCAAAGTCAAAGATCAGCTAGCATACTGCTCCAGGTCCATGAACTGAATCCAACACGTCTTAACAACAAATAAAAGTCACTATTGATGAGAAAATCCTCTCTCGTAATTCATGTCAGGTCATTTAGAGGTTCTGTTTTCAGAATTTGAAGTAAATTGATCATCTTTACATACATGGATCCAGAAGAGAATTGACAGAGGAGCTACTGCTTTCCCTAGGGAACAAAGTGTTCCGTCAGTTGCCACAGATTTGCTCTGTTTTCCTGCTCCTTTTCTGCACCAATATGCATTTGCAGGGCATGGTGAACCCAGACACTGAACCAAAAGCATAAAACTAGTTACTARAGCAAGGAACACAGCTGGTTTTCATCCCAACCACCTACCTGAACCAGCTGCACAAACAGTGGTACCATCACAGCCAAGGTGTCTGCTGGCATAAGCTGCTATGGGACTGCACCCTACCCTTGAAAACAGCGATGAAGTGACATACAGCTTTTCCAAGCTGATCCCAAGGTGCAGATGCCAACTAAATATGTATTTTCAATTGAACAGAAGTGAACAGATTTAGAGTTACACAGGTGATTAGACCTAATACCATTTAAACATAGAAGTATGAAGAGCAACTCRATGAGACAAGGAACACAAGTGTTAAATAGGGACACCTCTCAGTATTCCACATCCCAGATTAGAGCCCAAACAAGTCACCCGTTCTGCAGAATTCAGCTTCATGARCCAGAGACTTGACATAACTGATGAGTTATTTACCTACAAAGAGCAGCAGGCTTTTTAGGACTGGCTTCTAGCAACCTCAATTAACAGATGAGACAACTGAGAATTAGTTATTTCTGTGGACATTGCAGCCCAGTATTTTGAAAAGAGATAGCACTGGTGTCAGTGTTTAGAGTCAGACCAGTAGTCTGCATGTAGTTTTGTCTGTAGTCCTTGCTGTGCATATCATGCATGCGGAAACAAGAGCTTTGGCTTTTTCAAGGAGCCTTGAAGTTTGGCTATAAATTACAAAACCAGCCTCAAGTACTTCAGGGTACATCAACTTTTAATTTTAGAGAGATAGTTATTACTATTTTCAGAGTGCACATTACCACAACTCATTATTTAGATGGAGTAAATAATGAGTTGTGTTTTTCCATTTGGCAACTAACCAAGCCCATTACAAAGATGCTATCTTAATTAAATCYGATACCTCACTGATACCAGCAGCTGTAATAGAATCTGTCAGTTTAGCTAGCATCTATTTCAAATTAACAATGCAAATTGCTCTTATTAATTTGCACATGGCAAAGGCATTAAATCCCTGGATGAATTATGCTCTTCATCAGGAGATAAAAATTGGAGTGCAACCATTTTCTGCTTGAGCTTTTGGAAATGCAGGGCTGGAATTGCTACCACAAGCAGCTGACAGGAGGACCATGACCCTAGCACCCAGACCAAAAGGCTTTCTGACAGCAGTCACAGCCAGCTTCCAACGTTAGCTTACTTTTGAAATGCATTTGAGATGCCTTTGTATCATGTTTCAAGACAAAGCTGCACAATTTTAAGTATTAAAGAAAAAAAGTAACTGCATAAAGGCTTGGTACCACACACACACACACACACACTCTTTTTAAGATGCACAAGACCTCATATTTTACTTGATATCGCACCTTCATCTTAAACCTTCCTCTCTATGATTCAACTGGCTTGAGTGATGTGCTGCAGGAAGCACCATTCACATGGTCTCACTACGGTGACTTTGAGCCATCTGCATTGCCTTTCCATAGGTCTGTGCTCACACTTTGACTAGGTTGGTCTGCAGCTAGTGAAGATGAAGCCAACTGCCAAGATCCAAGAGGCTCCACAGGGTAGAACCTACCTGAGTTTGTCCCGTTTCGCAAGGCAAAGCTGCCTTGCATGGTGGAGCTCTCTGCAGAATTGCATGCGATTTGGGAGGCTTTCTGCAGCTTCAACATTAGTGTTTTGCTAGATTATGCCAAAATCCRAGTCTTTTTAATTTTTTATTTAAATTTCATGTGTGTATTTTACCACAGAGATACAAGTTACTCTTTACAGCAAATACTCAAASAAGTACAATATATTACAGCTAGAAGAAGGAAGTCAAATACATCCATAGCAGAAGGGAAATCAAAATCAAAATTTATTACCCGTGTCTTCAAGAATAGAAATATATTTTGAATGCTTTCTTCTGTGTGGACAAAAAAGGTAGAAATTCAKGGGCAAGGAAGCAACATGACAAAAAAGAAAAGCTGAACAGACAGAACAAGCATTTTACATTTCAAGTGTGCAATTAACTTATATTGCAGTACTAGTTCTGTTCAAAGAGATGAAAGGCAATTTCCAAAGAGCTTACAAAATTATTAATGAGAAGTATATGTTTTTGCTGTTGAATTCATCATCCTTCTAGTACTGTGTGCCTTAGAAAGAAATTCTGATGCTAAAAATCAAGGAAGCCAAAACATCTGAGCTAGTGCACCAATTCCAACTTTGTATATATACAAACATATATATATAGAAACAGAATTATTTTTTGAGGAACTGTACTTAAAAATGTGGCTTGTATGTACTAGATGATTCAACATGACTTGCAAAGACTTCAGCAAGCGACTCCAGCATGTCCAGAATATTCTTATCAAAGGGACTACTGTATCAGGAGAGTTAATGAAGCTTCAGTTTGAAGCAACACGAGCACAGTCTGCATTCAGCAACCCTAATTGTACACGGGCAACAACAGATGCTAGAAGCAGTCTTAGGTGACTCTGAAGAACAGCTGGCTTGCTGTTTCTAATCTGTTCATGTTTATCGTTGTCTATCAGTTAGTAAACGCCTTGTATATTTACAAATACTGTTCATAGCCAATWACAAGACTTTGCTTGATGCTACAGTAAAAGATAATTGTGCAGATATATCAGTACATCACAAAAAAGCAAATATTATGTACCAAAAAGCAGTATTTTCCAGCAACCACTGGGAAATAACTCTACAAAGATTTAGGGATGCCATCTTGTAACATCAGCATGAATCTTGTGTTAAATTAAAATTCCAGCTTTGAGTCACAAGAGCCTACCAAGGATAGGCCTATCTCAATACATGCTTTTCAATTAAAAAGTAGCTTCTAGCCTCACGTACATTTGTAAATTTGAAAGAAGCATTTTACAAGTGCTGAAGCAGCAGCAGATATGSAATATCAGGCTTTTTAATCAGGCTCTGATCTTAGCCTGATGTAATATCGATAAAAACTGCTACTGATAAGTCCATTCCAGGAACATTTCTCAAAATGTGAAGAATTTGAAAATGTGAAGAGCATTCTAATAAAATTTAACACTCCTTTGCAGTTCAAAAAAAAAAATTAAAAACAGTAAAACCACAAGATCTCACCCTCTGAAAAGCTGTAATTCCTGTTTTACTCTATGGACAACCAATAGCATCCTGCAAATTACAGAAGAGCATCTACAGCTCTGCGCCTATCTGAATACATGACACCAGCCTCCTCCTTTCTGCTCCTTTCCAGTATCTAAGTGCTGTTATATCCTGGCCAGGGTTAGAAAGCAAGAGTTTAGTACTGCAGGATGGATCTCTACTACTAGCGTTAGGCATGACATCTCAATTCACCTATTCATACCACACCAGAGGACTTATCCATAAAATGAGAGTAATTTTCATCTGTTTGTCCAGGTTTTGCCAAGATGACAGTGAATTTATCATTTCAAATTCCAAATTCTTTTGCCACMATGTTGAAAATATACATTATCTTTCAATTACGCAAGTGAATTTATAGAAGTTAAATCAAAATTTCAGCCCAGCCTTACAATAACAACATYGCCAAACAAGACAGGCAGTTACACTTCAGGTTACTCCATTTCTCTCTCAGCTCCACAGATCTTATGATATGTAACACAATATTACATATGCAATTACAAGTGTTAGACTGAAGGACTGTGCCATAGAAGAAAATCCAAAGGATGCAACTGCCTGGAGTTGATAATTGCTTAGGTCTAGGCGGCAGGAATTTTGCACTTCTTCTTGGGGGATTTCTTTCTCACTTACGTCCATTAGTCCTCTGTCTCGCACCTAGAACAAGTCAAAAGAATGGCCCTGAAAAACCTCAGACTAGCACAACAGCAGTAAGTTTTGTGCAGCCAGCAAGTTCAGTGATACTTCAAATGAACCAGCTTGAACTGTATTGCAAAAAATGCAKTCGAATGAGGGAAGCATCATCATCCTGAGGTTTACATTCATTACACATACATTACATCAAGAGTCACAGGTGGCTGTTGTTTGTCTTGACTCCTGGCACATGTAGATGCATTAACTGGAAAGCCTGAAATAAACTCATGAGCCTTCTTCCCTGAAGCCAGCTCAGTCTTGGGACAGAGCCCCAAACATGTCTAATTTAAAAGGAAGAAAACTATTAGAWCTCAGACAGATGACTGTGATGATTTTGAGTCTCTCATGACATCAGTCTGCTGCACGTACAACTCAGCCTAAGGCAGATAAACTGGAACAGAAGACAACTCCCTGATTTATGTTCATCTAACGTATCCCAGAAGTGCAAATGGAAGAAAAGATCACTGTGAAATAGTGTMTAGAAAGCTCTATGTATAATATCTACTTATTCCCATAAAAAGAAACAGGAGGAATTAAGCAGGTAGCAAACTTCAAGCTATTTTTTGTTTTGTTTTTTTTTAAAAAAAAGTAGGGCAGGGATGTACCCTCATCGCTGCACAAGTTTCTAGCGATGAGGTCTCTAGCTGGTGATGTAGCCTGTTAACAATGCAGCCGTGCCTTTGGATCCCAGCCGGTCCCACAACAGCAGCTCAACGGGCTCGCAGGAGGCAGCGAGAYGGGGCCAGAGCCTCTGTGACCCGGCTCCGGCCACGGCCCCTCCATGCTGTCAAGTGATTCCCTTTGGAAGCCAGCAACRTGTACACAGCAAATCACCAGAGTTTAAGAGACGCACAGAGCTCTGTCTGCTGTCTCACACTTCATTCTGCTAGCTCTCTTTTGCAATCTTGGTTGCTTTCGCAGTATTTGGATTTATTACACRAAGCGCTTGTATTTCCTCGTAACTCTCTCATTGAGAGAAATGGCAAGGCCGTGACAGTCCCTCTTTCCTCCTTTAGCAGGCATCAGGATTCAGGTTAGGTTTTAATCTTACCTTTTCCGCTTCCCTAAAGACACGGAGGAAGTTTTCCCTCAAGATGCCTTTCAGCTCCGTTTCATTCCATCCTCTTCTAAGAAGCTCCCCAATCAAAGACGGATATTTAGAAACATCTTCCAGTCCCTCCGGGAAGCTGTTGATGAGATTAATGCAAGCATATTCAACATAGATCATGGAAAARTGTAGAAAAATATTTTTCTTTTAATTATTTCACAGAAATCCATGCCAGGAACAAGGTCATTGGGGACTAGATTCTTTCTCAAAGAATTATAAAAAAGAGAGAMTCCAGCTGATATAGCCAGAAGCAGGACTGAGACACAAATGTGTTTTTTTCCTTCATGGAGTATCCTGTTAAAAGGACTAAACTGTGTACTCTGGAATGAAACAGCACTTACATGCAGGCAGGATAACAGCCTAAGGGATATTAAAAAAAATGAAAAGCCTCATGTAGGCAATAATTCCCCCTACATCTGGCTTTAGGGTAAGAAGAAACWGCTGTATTACAGATGGAGCATTCAACCCATATAGCTGTGAGCAAAAGGGAACCTGCAGAAGCATCACAGAGTAAAGAATGGCTGGCAATTCTTTTTATTCTGCTGGTTACAAGGTCTTTTCCCCTCCCCCTGCCCCAAACCAAGTAAAATTAGAGCAATAACGTTGCTTTGAATTCAATAGCGTAGGCAATATAAAGCAAACTACTCAAAACCCTCCACTGAAGAAATTACACGAAGCAAAACTGATTGCCTTCTGCTAATTCATTCCAGAATAAAGCAAAACTGAAAGTAAGGAGCTGCCAAACCTGCATTTAGCCATAATTCTAAATTGAATTTCCTAAGTCTTCAACTTTGTTTTGAAACCACTAATGTTGTTATTTTCTTTTGGAGAGGCTGCTGTCCTAAACATCTCACACTATCTGTGCCATTATTTTCTAAAGCTTAGTCACGCTCTTAACAACTCCAGCATCAATTAAACTGGTGCTCTTGGCCTTTGGAGCACCCCTGAGCTGACACATTTGCCGTCTAAGGGCAGAGGCAGCTTTTCTGGGAGAGGGGCATTGGCCATGGCCCTACTTGTGTGCACRGCCCCTGCCTCAAGCACACACTGCAGAGCTCGCAGGACATCAGGACTAGTCTCCACTCTTGGAGCACACCTGAACTTGAACCTGAGCTTGAAATGCTTCAAACATCTTTTATAAAACTGTTTCAGTTGTCCTCAACRGGATAGCTTACTATGTCTTTTAGAAACCCTCATAACTTCAAGTCAAAACCCTCATAACTTAAGCCGTAAATATTAGTGCACATATGGTTTTACTTACTGTTGAACTCCATCATAGTCTCCTCCAATCCCTATAGACTCAAAGCCTGCAATTTTCTTTATATGGTCAAAATGATCTAAAATAAAATATCAAAGGAACAAAAACATCTAGGCATACATCAATAACACACCGGTGATGACACCAACCTCCTCCTTCAGACACATTGGTGATAAGCTAGTGTTCTCCTTAGTTGTAGATTTATAATAAAAAAAAAATCTAAAGACATCTCGATAAAACAAGTTAAAACATAATAATGCAGTCTTTTTTTTTTTTTTATATTTACTGATATTTAACTGGATGTTAATTGTTGCTAATGTACCCTAGACAACAGTCTTCAAAATAACAGCTACATTGGTGGGATGTTAAAAAGGAAGATGTGAACATCACAGCACATAAATTCCCAGCACATATTACATACACAAATAGATTGTATGTTACCTATTATACACCAAAACTTTCCACTCTTAACTACAAAGGTTTAGGGCATTTTCCAGAAAGTAACAACTATTTTGGGTTTAATGATTCTTAGCTCCCTTTGGACGCATCAGTTCCTCCAGCTATGTGTTAATATCCTGCATCTCTTRCTATGTTGAAATGAATGTACCCTCTAAAAACACCCAGAACTGGGATAAAGCAGGATCAGAAATAAGCAAGTAGCATAATTCCCTCATTCTGAAACATGATTTGGATGCCAAGCAATTTGTAGAAGCCACTCATAAGAATTGCAGTATATTAACTTTTCCAACCTGCCACGGTAGAAACATTAACAACTTTTCTGCCACAGGCCAGTACATCTGCATTGAACGTCACCATGATAATCCCCTTGTTCCTTTTCTGAAAGAAAGAGAGAGGCAATGAGCAGCCGCTCAGGCTTTCTGCAAACCTCACAAGCATCTCACATGGGTTATGCTCCAGTTCCGTCTTCCCACAGGTAAACATAACACCACACATCAGGCAAGAACGTGATTCTTTTTCTCCTCCTTTTTTTCCTTTTTTGAAGMCATCACTCACCAGTTGCTTGAGGATATCATCAGGAACGTTTCTGGAGTGGTTGCAAACAGCAGCAGCTGAGGAATGGCTGAAAATGACTGGTGCTTTTGAGAGGCGCAGCGCAGCTTTTGCCGTCGAATACGAAGTGTGAGATAAATCTATCAGCATACCCAGGCGATTCATCTCCTTTATCACTTCCTAAAAGGGATTTACAAGCAAAAGGAGCAGTATTACATTTCTACAAAGGAAGCCATTTAGCCGATGCATTAAAGCAGATAAATAGGCTCTGCAGCTGTCAGCTAGCTGTAAACATGCTATACCTATGTATGTGTCTACTTGCCTATTAATTTAATGGGAGGATCTTTACTCACAATTAAGCAGCACACTACCACATGCTCAAGATTTAGGGTTCAGACAAACTGCATTTTATCAGGACATAAGTTCTCCAAACCTTATCCTTCAGATTTTTATTCAAATCCCACTACTTCCACATACCTCTGATCACATCAGGAAAAAATAGTGTAATTACATCTAATGCTACCATTATCCTTAAGAACATCACAAGGAATTCGGCTTTTATGAGCTCTCATCCTCCTCTTAAGTAGTAAGAATTGCCCATAATTAGTTTTTAATGACTGCTTGCTTTTTGAAAATAAAAGGCCAGTTGTTAATTGTATAAGAGCCTGCTTTGATTATCATTCAAAAGAAGTTCTTACTTGGCCAAACTCAGTGAGACCAGCCACATTAGGGTAAAACCTATGTATTCCCTTAGACGATGATTCAGACCTTAAGAAGGGGAGCAAGGTAGGAGAAACACAACGTCATTCTGGAGAGCACAACAGCAGCAGCTGACACTTCTTAAGCCCCACACCATAGAAACCACCACCTCGATGTCACATAGCCAGACGCAGGGAGAGCAAGCTAGGCAATATGCATCTTACTGGCACAGTGCACTTCACATTCATAACTGTCTTCTAGCAGTTATTCCTTCAGGTTTGGGACCATTGCACAACTATAGTTTGCAAAGTGACACCACACAAGCAAGGAGATGCTTGTCAGAAAGCTTCCCATTAAACCACCCTTTGTCGGAAAACATACACTGAAATGCATCCGAAATGCCAGTTCCCTGTCAGCCATAATCTGTCCCTCCCTGTGCACACTCTCCCCCAGGTCTGTACAGCAGGGGACATTTGCCAGGCGGGGAGGAGTAGGTGCTGTCACTGTGACACAGGAACCAAGGGCTTCTCTGGCAACTGTACAGGGGAACAGTCTTGACTGTCAACTGCCACACTTTCACCTAGCATTTACCCTCAAATTTACACCATTTGCATTTTAAGTCCCCTTTTTCTTCCTGCTTTGTCCTAAGCAACTTTTCTAGTAAAGGGGAACAGCAATTTCCCCTTATTTCTGCATTAACAAAATTTCAAAGCTCCCCAAACCCCCCACAAACACCCAGAACCCAAACACCCTATGGTTACAGCAGTGGTTCAGACCAAGCCTGCCASAGGGGACCCCTCTGATGCCCTGAACCATGGAAGCGGCCCCACTTCAGGCAGCTACACAGACACAGGCACCCAGGTTACCACGGCGTGTTGCAGGAATGGGTTAAAGTCAGGTAGCGGACGCCCAGCTCATAATACATCCGCAGCGTGGCCAGGCTGCTGTCGATGGAGTGGCCGCCTTCCACCCCGATCAAGCAGGCAATCTTCCTGCTGTCTGAGATGCCTGGAAAGAGCAGAGCAAGAGAACTGCAAGGTAATTTCATATCACAGAATCACAGAATGTTCAAGGTTGGAAGGGACCTCCAGAGATCATCCAGTCCAACCTTCCTGCTCAAGCAGGCACACCTAGAGCATGTGGCACAGGGTGGCATCCAGAGAGGTTTTGAAGACCTCCAGAGAAGGAGACTCCCCAGCCTCCCTGGACAGCCTGTTCCACTGCAGTGTCACCCTCACAGTAAAGAAGTTCCTCCTCACCTGGAGGTGGAACCTCCTGTGTTCCAACTTATACCCATAGATAGATAAGAAGATATCTTGATATCATGATAGATAGATTRATATCATGATAGATAAGAAACCAGTTCTACTGAGCAACATTTGGTATTGAAATTGGAAGCAGTAACGCTGGCATCTCTATGCAACTTCTCAGCGCAGTGCACACTCATCTGGCAAACTATCTTCTGACTGCTGGGACTATGCAGACTCAGTTTTTGTGCTTCACTGAATGAACAGTAACTCTCAAGACCAGGATAACTTGCCTGCTTGCAGTTCMGTTTTGCACATAATTCCCACAATTTTATTAAAAAAGTCTATTATGAAAACAGAGCGTAACCTTGGGAAGTCACCACAAGCTCAAGTTCTTCGTAGCTGTTGCACATCCTTTTGACAACATCAATTTGCTCTAAGGTCAGGCGTACAGCATCCTTGTTCTGAGCGCTGCAAAGAACATACACTGACCAAAACTGCAAGAGACATTGATTGACAGGTGAACTAGGCAACCTGGCCTCCACCTCGGAAACGACTGATTGCTAGGAACAAGCTCATTTGTACAGTAACGAAAACATCGAGTTTCCTACAGTTTCCCAGAGCTGCAACTACATTTTTCCCTCCTCCCTCTCTCCTCCCCTCAAAAAAAAAAAATGAAGAATTACAACCTCAAGCAAAAGCCTCCACCCCAAGTATGATTAAGGTCTTTTGAAGTACTCAAATACTCCACAKCACACCAAAACCCAGAGTACTTCTGCGACCGAGGGAGAGGCAAGTGCAAAATGCCTTCTCCAAGAGTCTCATGGCCACAACAGTACTTACCTGAGCTCCCACATAGCCCGCCTGGAGCTTCCTAAGGTTTGTGTGGGTCTGGTTGAGTTCCCGTAAATTGACTTGACTGAGCCTATTTTGGTAAAACATTCTCAGCCGCAGCACAAAGTCATTGTGGCTGGAATAACAAACAAGAAGGTCTTGGGATAGAGCAGTTCTTCCCCTTGTAAGTCAACTTAATTTAATGGTCCCTTTCTTAACTTAGCACCTTAAGTCAGTAATTGTCAGTAATACTTGCAGTAACGTATGCTTAAAAGACTCCCTYCTTCCCAAACGAGTTTTATTCCTTAAAATGCTCCATAATAAGGACAACAAAAGTCTTCCTGGCCTTGCCCAAGTTTGTAGCTCTTTTGCTGCTATACCTATGTTGCTCCCCATCCATTCTCAAGGCACAGCACTGCTGAAAGCAGCAGCCACGCTCCTTTAGAAGCAATATTTGTGGTGTGGCATCAGGCACCAGGTCAAACTACACTCAGCACAACCACTTCTTTGAGCTGCGAGGGCAGCCTATTAAGTCCTGCTGTTTTACTCTTAGCTGAGTGCCGAAGTCACAGCTAATGGAAGATGCCATTGGATTACGGGAAGGAGATGAGGGTGTTGTGTAAATGGGAAAAAAACAACATTTGGTGATGGAATCTGATCTGAAAATTGCAAGTTCATTTAGAATAACTTGACCCCAGACTAAGCACGTTCTGAACCAAGATTCTTGGAAGCAAAAATCACTGCAGCAATAACCAACTGCTAMCTGCCGCATACCACCCCTGCTCATGCAAACACATTTTGCCATCTCCTCCTCACTTATCAAGGTTCCCAAGGGGGCTTATTTGACCACGAGACATTTCCCATACCCATCAATTAAACGGGTATCTTGCATCAGCYGGATCGCTCGCTCTCGCAGCGATTTCTCCTCGTTGAATGGCACAGCAGCGGAGAGGAGCAGCAGCAGCCACAGGAACTGCTGCAGCAGACGTCTCCTCATGCCTGGTTGCTAAAGCAAAAAGATGCCACAATTATTCCCCAATGACCACGAAATAGGAACCTTTCCCATCTGCAAGGGGCAGAACCAAAGTGCCCATCTTCCTGATAAGCCTGGGGTGAAATTCCAAGGAAAAAGTGAATAATGGATAGAAAGACATAGTAGAAGAAGAAATAGTAAAACAGCTGCATTCTACAGGATTTTATACAGCTGCTCCAAGGGCACCGTCCAGGCATTAGAGCCGGCCTGGCAGCCCCTGTGCTCCCGCATTCCCCGAGCGGCTCCATGCCCAGGTCACCGTGACCGGGAAGCGCATCCCATCCAAGCCACATGGGCTGGGTTGCTCCATTGGCTCCGTCTGGTGAAAATTTAAGATTCCTTTAAAATTCCTTTCAAGGAAATCCTGCACTGCTAACACACAGAGCACTGCAGGGCACTAAGATGTAACTTTTTTCACAACATGGAATTTGCAATTTTGAGATTTGCAATTTTCCCATAATAATAATAATGGGAATGACAGCAACTTTAAGAGTAACTAAAGCACTCAGTATTTTTTCTGGCTTCCTCCCTAACTCCCCCTGTAAAGTGTCAGTCACAAAGCATTCCTAGAAGCAGTTTAGAAATACCTCCTACTCTGTGCAAAGAAAATACATAAGCCACCAGGAACTAAAAATGTATATTCCAGACTCACAGTTCCTGGAAGAACAACTTAAATGGAGGTTTTGGGCATCTCCTCAGTCCTTTTAGTGACACCCACATTTAGAGGTAGGTACCCTTTGAATTCCTTGATATCATAATGGAAGAAGTCCAGAGGGTAACGGCTGCAATTTTAATAGCAAACAGTCAACACTTTTTTTTCTTCCAAAAGCCTATAAAAAAACAAAAATAACACAGATATTTCCTTCACTTTCCACTCTGAGACAATGAAGTTATCTTCACAAACTTTCTCCTCTGGCAGTACATATTGTTTCCTTTTATTAATATAGAAAGTTGTTTTCATTAATTCCTTGTCTCCAGAAGTTAAAATAACAACTATCYGAGATACTACAAAATTATCAAGCAGCAGAGACTCCGCTCGCCTACATGTCTCCCCTGCCTTTACGAGAGTATTTCCCAACAGCAGGAGGCAGGAACTCATTCCCAAGAAGTAGAATCCTTTCTAAAGCTGAATATTCTGGAATTAAGGCAGAGATATCAAGGGAAAACTGCGGCCAACAGCAGTTTGGGAATTGACYTCAAGTTACTCTGAGCAGATCACCTACCCGTGGCATCCCATTCAAAACACTTTTTTCCCCCCACTTATTAGAAGATTTCAGCTATAAAAATCTAAGCTGACTTAACAGCAGGCCTGGAACCAGGGTACCATAAAGCAGTGCACTGAAAGTCATATTCCTGATAAATGTATATTTCCAAACTACACATTATACTGTTTTATTATTATCTGCAAGATGCAGAGCACAATCAGAAGAGGTGTCCTTTCTGCCCTGTCTTTTGTCTGATGGAACATAAATACATTTTTTAAAGGAATTTAAATTTAATAAATTTAATTATTAKATTTTATTAAGCCACAATAAGTTTAGTTAAGCTGTGCAATTCAGACTTATGCAAAATCAAGCCTGGCTGAAGAAGTAGGTTTAAAGTCAGTTTGGACACGGGCTCAAGGACGGCTGAGGAAACACGGGAGCATCCAGGCACAAAGGCAGCACAAGAGCCCTAGTTCCACCTTGCATTGGATTTCCTGCTCTTACCTGTGCTCAGTGAAATCCATTTAGGCAGCAGGGTGCTCTCCAGAAATAAGAGCTAAACAAAATTGCATCAAAGTCTCCTATGCACTTAAAACCACCCTGGTTTGCTTCTGATTATTTTTATTTTAATTTCTGATTTATTTTAACTAAATTCGTGCAGAAAGTCAGGCAGTCCATTACAAGGGGATAAAGTGCAGGATCTCTCCCACTCCAAGACAGGCTCTGCAGCCAAAGCTCTGCAAACRCCCCAAGCAAGAGGGGACCACAAGCACACCGAGGAGGCTCTTCTGCCTTGCAGCCCTGCTCCAGCTACACAAAACATCACAGGCTTGAAGCACACAGGGGAGGAGATAGTGAGGTGTCAAATTCACTGCTCTTTCCTCCACTCTTCACCTCTCATGGACGAAATGCCTCCTCCTAGGCCTGACTTGGCACTTCCCAAGTCTTGGCACTGGCTTGGCTTGGAAAAGCCACCAGCTCACGGGCAACAAGTACTGAACTAATCCCTGCAAAGCTGGGTTCCGTGCATGGGGAGTCTTTGCAGGCTCCAGCTGCAGAAACCCAGCTTTGCTGCACRCGTTATTTGCGCTTCAGCCACAGGTTTACATTCTTCAGGCTCTTCAGCAACAGCCAGGAAGTTCCTATCAGTAAAACACGAACACGGCAAGGGCACAGGCTGTGCTGGGGGTTCCCACGTCGGGGAGATGGGAGCYGTGGTGAAGCTGGTGGCCCAATCTGCCATATAAGGATGCAGCGAGGAAGGACGGGATAGAAAAGGGCTGCCCTAAAGCAGACATTTCAGTGGAAATCCACCCCACACAGCGAGAAAGGGGCACTTTCATGTACTGCTCTCATTGACCATCTTGGGAAATCCACACAAGCTGCCAGGCCCCTCTCCTCCTCTCCAGCCAGCAGGCCAAGCCTCGGTGCAAAACAAGGGCGGCAAACAGCTGCTGCTATTTAAGTGCATCAAACCCTGCTCAGCAACAACATTCCTTTGATCCTGATTTTCCATCTCATTCTTTACTAAAATACCTCGTGACAGCCTCGATATTAATACCTGAGCGCATTGAATTACTGTGCTCAACCCAGTGAATGAAGTGTGATAAAAGAGAGTTCGCAGCTTGAGAGAGAAACACCTCTTGCAAGTTCTGCTTAAATGAGGCCAGCTTTTAAATAACAAGTTTAAACAAAAGCTACACTAAGAGCAAAGCCACATGCAACATAGCAAGATTTAACCTCTCACCCCCCCTTTTTTTAATTCCTTTCACCACTAGCACCCCAAATCCTGTTCCACTGATCTGCTGCCATCCTTAGGAAGCTCCTTAGAGCTATCCCGGTGTGAGTATTATAGCTGTTAACTGCTCCAATATGCAATCCCCTCCCTCGTGTGCCATTGCTGCCATCCAGTGCCCTCCGCAGCTCATGGGGACCCCCTCAGTGCTCCCCAACTGCAGCCCCCCTGGGCACAGGGGTGAGGAGCAGGAGATGCCCCAAAGCACCAGGGAGCAATGAGAAAACAGGGTGCTGCAAAGCCAGTTGGACTGGGGTAGCAATGAAGGATAAGAAGCACTCATGGATGGAAGGAGTTTCCATGATCTCAAGTGAAAAAGAAAAAGCAACAAGGCGTGATAGCTCATCCCAAACATCCTGGGAAAGAGGAACCCTTTAGGGACAGTAACACTGCTTCTATGTTTGTATATAGAAGTATTCTTGTGTACTTCTGGTGTTGTATACTCTTAGCTTCTGCCTTGTGTGTCCTCAGCTATTTCACACACTGCCCACCACACACGTAGACAGCAAATTTATACATATAACATAACCTCGTACTGCCACTTGAGAGAGGTTGTTGAAAACTTTCCTTAAAATGACAACTACTGAGCTTGCTTCCCATCAGATTTCCATTCTTGCCTTAAATATTTTGTTTGTTTTGTTTTCTCCTGGCCAGTCTTTCAAGACTCTTCTTGCCAAATTCAGATTACAGAAACCGCCAAGTGGATTCTTACACTACAAAGTACGTGCAAGTTCTGACTAACGCTGTCTGCTTACACAATGGCCAGCGATAAGGGCTGCTTTCTCAGAAATCTCGGGTTTCGGAAATTCTTGTAACTTCAAGATGTGCTTTTGTGGCATAACTTCCTAAAGGCAGCACAAACCAGAAGAGCCTGACTACATCAGCAGCACCGTGTCAGACCACACAGTATCTTGCAAAGCCACCTCCCGGTTGAAAGAGCTGACCTTGGCAGCACAGCTCGCAGGGAGTGTTCGAGCCCCGGGTTCAGCTGCCTCCTTCGATAAGGCAGAGCTCTTCCTCCTCAAGGCTCGCGGGCGGCTTTCCTGGAAGATAAACCAGAAGCCTTTGAACCGCGTGTGCAGACTCGAGCAAACAGCCTCCCCCGCGCGCCCCAGCTGCCGGGCTGCACCCGCACAGCGATCCCGGCATTCCCGCTCCATCCCCGCGCGCTGTTCCCGTTCCACCGGCACCTCCGCCCCGCGCCCCTCTCCGTGCCAGGGCTCCACTCCTGCTCCCAACAGCCGCATCATTTTTGGCAGCATTTTGTCACTACATGCTGATATTTTGGAATGGTTCAGGAGCAGCAGGCAGGTTTAAGCAGGGAGCATTTTCAGACATACTCTGAATTTTCCATTTTCCCTGCTGCTCACGTTTTCAATGCAGAAGTTACGAGACAGAGCGCGCTTTATCTGCTGCTCAGGGCACACCAGTGAAAGATTTCCAGCAACAGTGTCTGCTGAAAACACAGCCGTTCCCAAAACCCTTCCCTGGGTGCCAGCACAGCCTTTGCCAGGCTCATAGTCCAGAGCTATAACCTCTATATAAAGACACTCTGCCAGCCCTGGCAAAGTAATTCCTGAAGGCAACACAGAAACCTCATAAATTATCATGCATTCTGCTGTATAGAGCAGTATAGCATAGCTACCATTCCCACAACACAGGTAATTTAAGCATCAGTTCAAAACCCTTAGTGAGAAAGCAGCAAATGCAGCTTGCCCGCGGTGATAGTGAGGAAGGTTTCAAGCAGGAAGCGTTGTTGCTGTGTGCTCAACATCAAACAAGCAGCTGCTGACAGAACCAACCCCCAGCGACGCGTTATCCCAGCTCTGTATTTGTACAGAAAAGCTTTCTTAGCAGCTACAAGAATTTCCTACTTAACACCAATCCGAAGTCATGAAGACCCACATACAGAGAATCCTTCTGTTATAAATGTTACAAAAAAAGATGCAAAACATTCTTTGCACTGTAGTAAGATGCATTTACCGTTAAAACGAGCTAGGTAAGAAAGACACTCAGATGACACCCTGGCATTCAGAAGTGACAAGGTCCATGGTAGCCTGGGCAGCCCCTTTGCAACAGCTCCGAGCACAGCGTGGGGAGCCCACCCGGGGTTTCCTCGTGCTCCCTGAGCAGAGGGGAAGAGCCAAAGCTGTCACGGGACTCCCAGCTTCCCCGCGTTCACCTTCAGGCTCTTGGGAGCAGGCTACCCTGTTCGGAAAACGCAGCGGAGACCGAATCCATGTTCCACGGCGCGGGACGCAACGGCGCGAGTCTGGCGCGGGACCCACCTGGCATGAGAAGAGCCCCGAGGGATGATCCCGGGTTTGCTTGGCTCGCGTGCCGCGGGCTGCCGGGAGGGAGTGGGGAGCGCAGGGAGCGGGTCTGCGGGAGCCTTCCCTGCGGGGCCACCCACTGCAGAGCCCTCGCGGGGCGTGTGGGGCTCCCCGCTCCGCATCCGGCCTCCGCTCCCTCTTGTGGCAGCCGCCGCCGCCATCCAGCGCCCGGACACCCGCCAACGGTGCCCGCAGCGTCCGGCACCTGCCAACAGCGCCCGGACACCCGCCAACACCGCCCGCGGCGTCTGGCACCCACCAACGGCGCCCGTGGTGTCCGGCACCCCGGTCCTGTGTCTAGAGGAGCAGGTCATCATCAGCACCGACTCGTTTCGGTCGGAAAGGATTAGTTGGAGGAGTTGCCAACCAGTCCCAACTAATGTTTTAAGTAGCTATCTTTATTGTCCACAATGCATTCGCACAGCTGCCACAATAAGAGTTGTCCCTATATATGTCATGTTATATTCAATCAAACTCATCTCAGAGGCAGATGAGAAGGTGTAAACTAACCACAACTCCTAGCCATACAGAGGTTGCCAGGACCCAGCAGGACGGCATTAGGTTGAAATTAGGCTGGGACTATTTTCACACACTAGAAAACCTTGGTCCAGTTCCAGGACAGCTTCTCTGCTCTCACCAAGGTAATTCATATTAGGGCACATCTCCAGTGTTTCTGCTCCCGTGGGTTTAGCTGTGGTCTAACTATGTCCCAGGTGACAGAGCTTTGCAGACACAAACACCTACCATAGCAGCTATTTGTAGCCAAAAGCTGATTTCTCTGCAGTATCTTTGTACTCCACCAGCTCACAGCATCACCTTCCCTTCGTGCCAGCGCTSCAGCCCTTGGCACAAATGTATTCCTGTGCGTGGGTCAGCTTTAAAACCTCGCAGCAGTGAAACGCCCTCAGGAGAAGTCAGGTTAACATAGCATTATAAATGCTGCTTAATTAATATCCGAGCTGTTCCCTCCGAGGTGGCAACATCCCAGCCTGCCAGCTGGCATCTTCTGAACATGGGCACCAGTGTTATAATTAGAAACTGTAGCATTTTAGAATGAGGAAATCCCGCGGTATCAAGATTACTGTTTGCATAAAAATAGCAATACCRGCATTCCTGACTATTGCAAATATAGCTCACTTATTTCTTCTACTGGTCTCAGAAATAGTTTCAGGTCCTGAGATGGATTCAYATTTGGAAGAGGATGAAGCTCTTTTATTCAATCTTGATTTGGTGGATGGCCAAAACTACCGTGTCTTCATGACCCTGCTTTAACCAGCCTCYATCCAGACAGTTTGGCTGATGACAAATCTCCTCGGGATACCAATGTACGGAATCGTTCTCCCTAATACTAACTACTAAACCCAAAAAATAAAGAGGGGGGAAATGTTTCTCACCAYAGAATTTGTTTGTACCTTCTCCAGGTCTGAAAAGAGAAGAGTCAACACAAAACTCTCCAATGTTTCACAGGGGTTTGCAGTCTGGGGAAGAAAATTTTAGCAGTTTAGCAATAATTTAGAGTAGAATTATGCTCATTTTAAAAAGTTATTTGAAAGTTCATGTTAAAAAGTATGATAAATTGCTCCATTTTAAAATTACTCTATTACAAATGATAGTGCTCAAATACTGAAGCAAAGGAAACCACCAGAGCTGGTCCCCCAGCTTTCTGATTGCTTAAGCTAAACAATCAGTCTACCAAATCTGACACCTTATGTTTTCTTTATATATATATGTGCATATAAGAAAATTCAGAATTCTTTCTTGTGACTTTTGTTCTTAACTATATAGTATGTCACACATATATACATATATAAATATATCTTACACACACACACACACACACAGAAAGAGATGATTTGCCACAAGGTGGCAGAACAATCACAAAAAAAGAAAAAATTCCAATCACACACCCCAAAAAAAAAACCCCAAAAAAACAAAACAAAACAAACAAACAAAAAAACCCCACCACCAATCTCAGAAGACAGGAGAGCTCACTAAAGAGATTATCRTTTCATTGTTTCATTTTCCTTGGGTTGAAGCATTTGTTGCCTTTACCAGGAAGCAATGCAAAGGTTCTAAAGAATAACAGTATTACTAGAGCCAAAGAACTCCTCATCACCAGAAACCACCTCCACAGCACTGCTCCCAGCAAAAGGCTTCACCTGCACTGGTTGGTACCTCCGCCACGAGGGACTGCCTCCCAGCCTCACCAGAGGCTYTGGCTGTCCATGTTCCTCAGCCCTAGCCCTTCTCCTCCAGCCAAAGCAAAGCCCTAAATTTCACACCAAACTAAGTAGAACAGTTCATATCACCTAGCTTTCTTCCAGACCACGACTCCCAACAGAGCCCAGCAGCAAACGGCCTCCACCTTTCTCTGCCAGCTTCATGAAGCGGCTCCTGCCCCTCGTTATCCTTCCTTGGCTACAGCTGGSGGGTCACCACACCTGGGGCTGCCCAGCTGCTTCCCAGGGCTGCTTCCGTGTTACACATTGAACTTACCTGGTGACTTGAAGCATTGCAGCTCTGGAAAAGCTTCACCCTGGTTCCTCATCCACGTAGGGTCCCGGGGCTCCCAAGCGTGGGGATATGGCTGGAGTTGGGGACATGGAATTCCAGTTTCCTACAGCAGTGGCCTATGGCTATTTGCAACAGCCCTGATATTCCTCATCCTCCTCATGTTATTTCTGCTGTTCTGTGTAAGACAGTTAGCACTATTGCTGTCTGCTGTCTTATTTAACACACAACCTTGTCTCTTACAGACAAGGGGCAGAGCTCGGGGGCCTTCCCCTGAACATCTCCCACACCTTCCACATCATCTCTCATCGCTTGGCCTACGGCAGCTCTTGCATCAACCCCATCCTTTACACCTTGCTCTCGGAAGACTTCTGCAAGTTCTTCTTGCCACCAGCTCCTGCTGAGAACCTGGTGTCAATACAGCAGAACACAGCAGGAGGACAGCACGGGCTGGACAACTAACGTGTAAAGCAGGCTCACAAGGGGAAATACATTTCAGGAAGAAGAAGGAGAAGGAGGGATATGTGCAGAAACAGAAGAATTTCCTTGAACAAGAGGCAAAAACACCTGCTGAATGGTCCTGGTTTTTTTGACACAAGTGACATTCTCACAGCTCTGTTTTCCTGCTGGTTTATACTCCGCCTTGCCAGGTCTTCTCTCRATTGCCCCTGTTACTAACCATTCATTTGTTTTTTCTGCTACCACAACGTTTTTGTTTTACTCAGAAATCTCACCCTGGGGCAGGGGCAGTGAGGTCAAGCATGGGAGCGGAGCTGAAGGAAGAGAGAAAAGAGTTTGGGCACTGTTAACTCGGTGCAATGTTCTGGAAGCTGCAGCAGTCGTTTTCCTCCTGTTATTACAGTTTAATTTTCTGAYATGCGGGGAGAAAGACAAGATCATGCTGTGGGTTGGTTGTGCACGTGCATTCGGATCGAAAATAATTTAGGATGTTTGAAATTCATTTAAATGTATCCTTCATTTGAGACTGTGGGCTATTGAGATGAAGACTGGTTTTAAAAAGAAGGAATTCGGGGCAAAAGCTGCAAAATCTTCACTGCGAACGCTTGAAAAAGACTAACATTAATAATATGCAAAGCAAAATAGAGGAAATATTGTTGA